TGGAGCAGGCAGTTGCAGGGGTGCACCTTTACCGCTTGAGAAACCCGGCCTTAGTCTCAGCCGGGCAGCTGCTCGGATCAGAACCCGGCTCGGTGCTCCGACCTCTGAGCGACCCCTTTGCCACCTGTTGATCACGGAGACTGAGTGACTCTGACCTGTAGTAGTAGGTTTGTACCCTTTCAACTGGTACAAAAACTGACACCTTTATACAAGACGTCATCTGGTCCAACACCAATGGAGACTAGGCTCTAAGAAAAGCTGTCTCGGGTGTGGACCAATCAACTTCAAGTACAGTGCACATCATTATCATCATCACAGTTGTTTCTTTTTGTTTGCATTTTGACTGCTTGTGTTGTGGTTATTGCAAACATGATGCCTTGTATAAAGGTGTCAGTTTTTGTACCAGTTGAAAGGGTCAAAACCTACTACTATATTTTGCCACTGGTAAAGGAGGTCTCATAGTGACTCTGACCTGTTTCTGATGCCTGTGATCGGGGGGGGGGGGGGCACCGCTGGTGGCTGGCGCGCGATGTGGAGATGCAGGCAAGGTCACCCTGGCTCGAATCGTGAGGGTGCGGGTGGGGTGAGCACACGGACCAGCACGGAACATGCTCACGGCTTCCTCCTCATTATATTTTATAGGACTTTTAGTAAAGCTCTAATGAAAGCAATGTTAGCGTTAACTATCGCTTGAATTAACTTAACTTTATTTGTTACCATTTTGGCAAGGCATATTATGTTAATTAGGAATTTCCATTGTATTCCAAGGAAGTTGATTATGTAAATTATCCATTAGCGGTTACAGATTCAATTATATCTGTGCTCGTTCTAATTAGATTAATCTGTAATTCGAGCCTCGACCAGCACTTCTAAATCACTATGACCATGAGTATCCAAAGGTAAGAAATCCGTGTGGTGGCAATTCCACAGTCCTGTTGCAAGATCCAATGTCTTTCATCGGCATTGGACGTCCACATCGGTTTGTGAAGAAGCTCCCAGCACAGTGCAGCAAAGCGTCGGACATCGTGGCAACAACACGCGGTAGGGTCGTGCGCAGATCGATTTTTTTGACCCACGACCCGAACCCACAACGACCTTCAGCACCACCACCACCACCACCACCTTGCCTGCAACGTGATCCGCTTTGATGAGACCCGCAACCCGACACGGCCTCGCTGTCATTCCACCCACAAGCTGACCAGACGTGCGTTCATTGGACTCGCAATGAGACGTGCGGGACAACACAAAATCGCACCGTAGAGCGATACGGCACGAACGCGAAGACCCACGCAGCGGTGCCTGAAGCAGTCCTCCTCTTCTGTGGGCTACTCTCGAGCACGGGGTGATGCACTGCTCACTGAGAAAGATCCGAATGGACGCTTTGTCTCGTGGCGCGATGCCGGTAGCGCGCTCGGAATAGAATACGGTGGAAAAATACCAAAAACTAAATGGAAAATTAAGAAAATATCGTCGATGAGCAATGTTATTTACAGTCGGCTTTCAGATGTGCCGGAGTTCGTTTGGCACAAAACAACAGACTGAAGCTGGAATCAATTGCTGTTCTAATTCAGAGAGAGAAAGATCGCCCATACCAAGATAGCTCCATCGCAAGGGTTAGAAACTGCCGTGAAATCCTCATAATCACTCCAATAATCTAATCGTCACAGCTGCGACGTGGGCCAGCTCTGACGATTAGCTTACGACACCACGAGCCAATGCTTTACCATATTATCCCGATTATAAGATGCTCCGCAAATTAAAATGGACCGCAAGAGTGAAGCCCGATGTCGATCGAGCTCCGCGACTCTGGTGACACGTGCCGCACACACCGCTACCGTGTGACAAGACACGCCACTGAGTTTCGCTCGCGATACCGGGACAAGGTCCCTTTTTTCGTAATCCGGAGAATACGGTAATTGTGATTTTTGGCACGAAATCTTTGAATTGACCAACATGGTGAAGGGGAGCCCAGCCGAGCGCTTTGCCCCCCCCCCTTCCCACCCCCGAGTGTGGCTGAGCGCGGTTTGACACTGCCAGCCGGCTCGCATTTGCGAGCGCTGAGCGTGGGTTCAACAGCGTGGCGACAGCAAAATGTTATCAATGTGCAAAATGGGAGAGGAAAACTTCGCAGGGGAGCGAATGGAATTGGGGACATTGTTGGAAAGATATGCGGGTGTCCGCGTGCAATACAAGGTGGCGCAGCGGCCACCAAAGTTCAACACGAACAATTGTTATAATCGGCGATCATCAATCCAATGTTGGATGAAGACCTTCCCCAGGCCATCGCCATCTCTCACGGTTCTTTTACCTCTTGTCTATTCATTCATCCCCGAATAACATTTGGAACGTGCACAAATCTAACTTAAATGGGACATTCAGAGGCACGGGAGAATGAATGAAAGTGAGGACATTCTTGAGATTCCGAGAGAAGGTCGGCATTGAAGCTGACTCGTGGTGCAGCGAGAGAGGGGGAGGGAGTGATTTCCAGACTTTTTTATTTTACTAAGTAAGGCTCACTGAGCTATATAGTTATTTTTCAGAAGCAACCTCGCCACAAATGATAGCTCAACGAAGTGGCTTATCACGTGGGCATTTATAGCAGCCAACTATTCTAAACGCATGTTTCTAAATGTGGAGGGAACAACCGGAGGACGCCGGAGAAATGCAAACTCTAAATATACAACGGGCGTCAGGGTCGAGATCGAACCCACGACCTCCTGTGTACCAGGCGAAGTAGTTAATATCTCCTAGCCATCGTGGCACCCGGAGGATGCGACGCAGAAGCCACATTCGCTTCTCCTGGCTCGAGTCGGGCTTGGCGAGGTGGCCGCCACTTGAGGAAGATGCCGGACGACCCCTCGCTCGCCGTACCTCCGGAGAGCACCCCCAGATGCGGTCGCATTTAGAGGCGATAAATACATCCGCACTGCGAGTGATATTTCTATCCCTCTCAGCGGGTTGTTTGTTTGTGACCATTATTTAGTTTTGGCAGCTGCCCTGGGTGATTTGACGTCATACCACCCCATGACATTATTTTTTTGCCTGAATTACATAATTCATATCGTAGGTCATCCTGTGATGATTTCACCACCATAAATATAACAGCTATTTGAATTCATCTAAAACAGAGGCCGTATATCTCAATGGGCTCTTGTCTGGATAAATGAGGCGCACACACGTATATATATTTTTTTTTTGCCAAAAAAACGTAATGCAGCAATTACTGACAGTATTTAACATTCCGACGATCGCCGAATGCATTTTTTGTGCAATTCTTTGCTGCCGAGCATTGATTGGGCCCCGAGGTGTTTAACGGAATGCTCTTGTTCATCTTGGTTCTTTCGGTAAAGTCACGTAGAAGAGAAATAATAAAATAATAAAAATAAAACATTATTAAATAAAATCTCACGACGTTTCGGCTACCACGCAAGCAGCCGTCCTCAGGTGAAGAAGAGGGCTGTCGGTAAGACAGCGTCCTAATGAACACCACCAAGCTTGGCAGCGTATATTTAAGCTGGGCTAGAGGAGGAGAGCGCCTTGACAAAGGAATTTACATATCACTACGGGAATTGGAAAGATCTTGCCTTCATCATCATGCCACCCACACATCGGCAGCAGCGGTAGCAGCGGCAGCAGCGGCACCCGCTAAGTCACACTGCTGATAGGACCCAAAAAGTCGAAACCGGAGTTTGCTACTTAAAAAAAAAACTGTTCAAAAGAATTGGTCCAGAACACACACGTGGGCCGATACAGACTCTCGTCCGCTTCACTATGACCTTTCAATCAAAGATGATAAGTAAGAACGTGACTTTAAATCACGTGGCGGGGGTCCACCATAATTCACCATCCCAAAAAAATATGCCAAGTCAACCGTTGGGTCGTCCTTCGTTCGGCTAGACGCACCGAAAAGAGGAACATGGAATTACCACCAGTTGCCCTGCAAGGCTGTAAACATGAGATGAGCCACCAATGGCTCAACGCTTATTTGAGAAGGGAATCCCTTCGACTTGAAGTCTCGGTCACCTCGCGTGTCAAGTCTCTGCTCTGGACCAGCTGAGTGAGGAGACACTTTTACTTGAATGTTTTTTTCTCTTCTTTCAAACAACAAAAACTGTTGACCAGCACCAGCCATATAGGCCCCACAACGTCAAACGACTCGCGACAGACAGCCCTGCTAATGATAGAGTCGACACGTTTCTTGTATTGAATCAATTACAATTGCATTTAAAATGCAACATTCGGTTGGCTCCAAAGTGCACGATTAATTGGAGTACATTAGCAGTGAACCGTGCTGGAAAATGTACATCTTATAATGCCATAGTATCACTATTACCACCAGCATGAGTTTTAACATGTAAATAGAATATTAATTACGGATGGGACCGAGGTCACGGCCGACGTCGGCTTGTTAAGGCGAGCGCTTTGCGCCCCAAGGTCACAGTGGCCCCGCATGTCGCCTGCGACGTGAAGGACATCTCCGCGATGAATCGGCATGCGTGCACTTCCGTAGTTCTGTAGTGTGGTTCTGTAGTTCTGCATCTGGGCCCATCGTTGTCACTGCATCTTCGTGCTCGCGGAACGCCGCGGCTGAACGAGTCGACGCGAGAGCTGAAACGTGTCCACACACATTTTTCTGATGTAGCGATTTTTGTTTTATGACTTGAAAAAGCAGTTTTTCTTTGTTTTGCCAGAATGCTAAAAAATATATATATATTTGAAGAGAAGACGTTTTTGGGCGCACGCCAAACACATTCGAGTCTCTCTTTGTGCGTTAAATTTGTTCGTACGACTCTCCCTTTGACTGTTTGACGACGGTGGCACGCATCGTAATAAAATAACGTGAACGGCGCGCGTCTCTCCAGCCTGTCCAAACACAGCATTACATCGATCCGGTGGCTGCTTTAGAGCCACCGCCAGACAGCGCATGCCAAGCACAGCGAGAGCCGGACGGAGCCAGGTCGAGATCTAACCCTCCGCGCACCACCTTCTCCGCTTCGCAGGGCTTTTCCAGCGAGCCATAACGCAGAGTGGCACCGCGCTGTCGAGTTGGGCCATCAACTACCAGCCCGTCAAGTACACCCGCTTGCTGGCCGAGAACGTCAACTGCAACATGCTGGACACGCAGGACGTGGTGGAGTGCCTGCGCTCACGCTCGTTCCGTGAGCTCGTGAACCAGGACATCAAGCCGATGCGCTACCACGTGGCCTTCGGGCCCGTCATCGACGGCGACGTCATCCCCGACGACCCGCAGATCCTCATGGAGCAGGGCGAGTTCCTCAACTACGACGTGATGCTCGGCATCAACCAGGGCGAGGGCCTCAAGTTCGTCGAGAGCATGGTGGACATCGACGACGGCGTCTCGGCGGCCAACTTCGACAACATCGTCTCCAACTTCGTGGACAACCTCTACGGCTACCCCGAGGGCAAGGACGAGCTGCGCGCCACCATCAAGTTCATGTACACCGACTGGGCGGACCGCAACAACGCAGGAGACGCGCCGCAAGACGCTGGTGGCCCTCTTCACGGACCACCAGTGGGTGGCGCCCGCCATGGCCACGGCCGACCTGCACGCGCAGTACGGCTCGCCCACGTACGTCTACGCCTTCTACCACCACTGCCAGAGCGAGATGAAGCCCGCGTGGGCCGACGCGGCGCACGGCGACGAGACCCCATACGTATTCGGCGTGCCCATGGTGGGCCCCACTTTGCTCTTCCCGTGCAACTTCTCCAAGAACGACGTGATGCTGAGCGCCGTCGTCATGACCTACTGGACCAACTTCGCCAAGACCGGGTGAGCAAGTGTGTGTGACTCGGTGTGTGGCTGTGTGTGTGGCTGTGTGTGTGCGTGGCTGTCTGTGTGTGTGTGTGTGGCTGTGTGTGTGTGTGTGGCTGTGTGTGCGTGGCTGTCTGCATGTGTGTGTGGCTGTGTTTGTGTGTGGCTGTCATCTCGGTCATCTCAGTCAGTCGACCCAGTGGCATCTGGGTCTGCCCGGTGACCTCCTGCCAGCGGGCGTTCGACACTTCACGTGGCCTCAAGGTGCACTTGGCCTGGCACAAGCGTCGTGGTGACGTCACCGCCACTTTTGGCGAATGGCGGTTGTTGTGTGTGGCTGTGTGTGTGTGTGGCTGTGTGTGTGTTGCTGTGTGTGGCTGTGTGTGTGGCTGTGTGTGGGGCTGTGTGTGTGGCTGTGTGTGGCTGTGTGGCTGTGTGTGGCTGTCTGTGTGTGTGTGTGGCTGTGTGTGTGGTGCTGTGGGGGTGGGGAGCGGTGGCGCAGCGATTAGCGTGTTGCGCCGCGGACTCGGAGACCCAGGTAGTTCAGTTTCCGCTCACGGTCAACACCGGTGATGATTATCCGAACCGGTCCTGGGCCTCCCCTAGGTCGACTCAGCCTCAAACGAGTACCTGGTGTGATGTGTGGTGCTGGCCGTTGTTTGCTGTGCCAGCCTTCATTGGTGCTACTGGCTAACAGCACTTGCCCCAACATTTTATCGAGGTTATATGGGGGATATTTGTCTTTGTTACTGTGTGTACACATACTGGATGTGCATTCCATTAACCGGTGACGTAATTGTTTTTATAATGATTTCACTTCAGACCAATGAAACGGTGTGAATGTGGTCAGCTTTTCTTCAGTGTGGTCCAGATGTCTCGTGGCCACCATTTAATTATCAAAAAATGTACAATGTTCCATACCAATGGGTGTGAAAACAGAAATGAATTGGGACATTTGTTTATGGGTCAATTAATTGGGTGTCACAATACATCTGCACCACCCTATCTATATATTAGTCTTAGTCAAATACAACCTATGGCATTTTAGTCAAATCTCAGTCTGTAGATTTTATGGAATCATTCTCTCGATCAAGTCTACGAAAGCAGTCCCACATTTAGTCAAACCAGCTTGATTGTTAATTCACGCTGGCGTGATGGGTGCACAACTTATTCCCTCACAATGTTATCAGGCCAGCCAACCCGTGAACTCGGTCATCCTGTGTATATGCACGCACACATACATACACACATCAAATTACCACGCTCGGTCTTCCTCAGTTCCACTGCAGTGTCTTAATGACGCTCAGATTATCTCGGTCTGCGCCAACCATTCAACCTCCTCCGCTCGGTTCTCGCCGCAATCGTCCGCGCTGTGGCCAGCGGGCGCAGTCACCGCCGCGGTGCTCCGAGTGACATCCGCTCGGCGCCACCGTTCACTCCTCGCCGACCTCGTCGGGGAGCAAGAACCATCATCACGCCAGCTCCGGTCGCCCTCGCAGCAGCAGCAGCAGCGGCAGTGGCAGCAGCAGCGGCGGCTTCTGGCTGGCCATCGAACAAAGACGGTCACCGCATCGCGCGCTTTCAGATGCGCTGCTGTGGCCGTCTGGAACGTTCTCCCTTTCCGATATTAGGAAGCCAATGGAGCTGTGCACTTTAAAATCATCCAGATTGAAAACTAATTTCTATAGAATTGTTTTGTGTTGACTTTTTTGTTCTACCTCCACACCTGCGATTAGCGCGGCTCGCTCTGTACGGTGCGGTGCTACATCGGCACGTAAGACTGAAATACGAAACACTTTGGCAACTGAGGTGGTCGTTAGCAGCCAACGGTTTTGCTTCGCCATTCGTCCTCTCTGCCCGCGGTAAAGAAAGCGTCCTGCAGAAACGGCGCTGATGTGGATCGAATCGTCTAGCCGGGCAACGGCGGCGGTGGTGGCCACGCTGCTGCACGTGGCTGCCTGTGGTGATCCAGCAGCAGTAGCAGCAGCAGTAGCAGCAGCAGTAGCAGCAGCAGCAGCTGCAGCAGCAGCAGCTGCAGCAGCAGCAGCAGCTGCAGCGAGGGTTGATGGATCCCTCACAGACGTTCTGAGATTCCCTTCCCGTGGGTGTCGAGGAGGAATCATGTCCTGGCTTGCGGGAGAAGGGGGTAGAAAAAATCAACTCCATTGGTTCCATCTGTATGGGATAGCATTGTGCCACTTGCATGTGAGTTTTCTAACCAGTGCTTCAGTCTCCTCCCACATGTAAGCCCTCGTGATTTTTACACTAACACCTTCATAGATAGAGGACCGCAGATCTTGGAGGGGGTGCATTTTGTGGCGGCTCACCGCATGGCTGCTGCTGCTCCCTTCCCCGCTCGTCTGCGGCTCCTCCTCACGCCTTCGAGACTTTCCTTCTCTCTAAGAGACCGAGCGGCTACTGTGCATTGGTGGTGGCACAGCGTTGCAGTGATAATGACAAATGAAATACTCGCCGCTCAATTCCATCGCATGCCACTTGGCGGGACGTTTTTTGCCATTTTTTTGTAGCTACAGTATTAATGTAATATGAGCTCGATTTGTCACCAATGAAAACATGACTTGTGCCTCCGGTCTGAAAGCCTAGTTAATGTGCGTGTTAAGTTTCACAAGAGGACAGAATTCAGAGGCAAGGGTCCGAGTTTCTATCCTCTAATGAGCATTGGGGCGGTGGAGTCACGTGGCAGAGGCCAGTCTCTCTGTATGATGCAGCAGCGCTACCATGCTACCGAGAAGAACACAGCCATTGTTGACACTTTCACATCGTGCCGCCGAGTAGAATACAACTGTTGACACTGTCACATCGTGCCACCCGTGTAGAACACAACAACTGTTGACACTTTATCATCGTGCCACCCGAGTGCGCAAATGCAGTAAGGAATACGAACACTTCTGCGCAAAACATCGCTGGGAGGGATAAACACAAATAAAACTTATTTCTAAACATTAGCCGAGTAAACCAAACAACGGGGAGATCACTCCCGATGCTGCAGAGCGATGAGAGTAATGCAGACTGATGGATTACGGCTACACGGACTTTAGGCAATGACTTTTCCGAGAAGAGGGCTTCTACCATGAGTGGATTGAACATAACTCATGGCGACGACACTGATGATGATGACAATAATAATGGTCCATGCAATTAGTAACGCGCACAATATTTCACGGACATCAATGGCCGTGACTCTTGAAGCAGCTAGGCCTTGGAGAAAGTGGGGCCCCTTTAAGCATATTTTACAAGTCGGTGCAGATTGAACGCTGCTGCTGCTGCTCCTGCAACTGTGTAGTGGGGACGATGATAGCAGCCTTCCAGATGGCAGGGGCTGCCATGGGGAAACGGCGCCTGGCAGTGGCCACGGGTCTCCTGTTCCCTGGTGGGAAGAGGTGGTTGTGAGCTGCATTGCTGCTGCTGCTGCTGCAGAGAGTCCTATCGTAAGCCGTAGCGACGCAGCGATGGCACATGCAGCAGGAGATCTTGTAGCTGACCATGTTGGTGATTATGGGAAGCCAGTGGAGGGACTGTAGGGAGGTGAAGAAATCTAACCGAGGATGATGATGATGATTCATAGTGGCAGTCATTGCACAGAGCAGGGCAACAGCACCCGTATAGATGCTTGTGTGGACAAATGACAGTTAAGCTTTGGATTAATTTAACACTTTAAGACTAAGGTTGAAAGCGTTCATATATTAGCTCTGTCAATTTGGCTATAACGTGGGGTCATGATAACTTTCATAAACAAGAGCCAATGTAATTAACAATTTGTTGTAACGTTGGGATGCAATTAGGGACTTATCCGCGAGAAAACCAGGCAATATTACCAAGGGGTTCCTAAAAATCTTGCGATAAAACCCGGCGATAACACACAAGCCCTCTTTAATCCAATACGATGGAGAGCCACTGCCATGTACTCGCCTCAGCTCTCGATGACATCACTACACGTGACGTCGCTATTACCGCGAAGTGAACGCTTCCAGGGACAAGCGCATGTTGGGAAGTGACAGAATCCACGTGTAAGCGTGATTTCTCTTCTCTGTTCAGTGATGTGGTAAACAACCTGTAGACCGCATGGGTACGAACCATTGTATGCAGCAGCGATGATCAAATGTTATTGACATTTTAATTCATGCTCATGGCAAAAAACTCATTATCTTGTATTTACTTGGCTTGCTATAGGCGACATGGCCTGGCAAATATTTGCTTGTTTGAGCAAAAGGAAACTGCATGGTGTACAATTTTAATGATTTGAGAAAAAACAAAAAATCACAGGCGTGAATATATATTTATATTTGATGCTCATCCCAGAAGGCAAGCGACGAGACGTGTACGGTATTGGACGTGCGTGTCGACTCGAGAGGGCCATTTTCAGCCAGCGTCATGTTCGTTATTTGTCAAATTTTGAAAAAAATAATAATGTACACCGCAAATTGCTCAATTGGATGAACAAATGTTCGTTTGTTTCTCAACCCGCTTGTCCTGGTGAGGTTCGCGGAGGTAGCACGTTGAGTACGGATTCGAGCTCCTATGAGGGAATTCCCAGGTGTTCCCAGGCCAGTCGAGCGACATGGTCCCGCCAGCATGTCCTTGAAGGGGAAAGGTGAACGCACGTATCAGATGGATACATTATTGTCATTTCTATTATTTCCATTGCTATGATGTATTTTGAGAAAAAGGATGACGATGCTGCTGTGGTGTAACAGTGAGTACCCCGCAGTCCAGAGGCCACCGGTTTGATTCCATCTCCCCGGGCGGATGGTAAACAATGGAGCCGGTTTCTTAGATAACCCCCCACTCCCCACCACCGCCTCTGTCCACCGGGCAGTAAGAATGAGTTCACTGCAGTTAGTTGGTTGGCAGGCCACGTGGTGTGGGAAAGAGAGAGAAGGTCAAGAGGCCCTGGCAAGCGGTGCTCTCCAGAGCTCCCACGAGCAGAGGCCTCCCCCTCTGCCAGCAGCCAATGGCAGGGCTGCACCCTTTACCTTTCAGATGTCGTACACAGACTC